CTTGGAATCCAGATAACGATGATGATGTCAAGAAGATAGCAGATGTTCAGCGATGCAACGAACGGGCGTTGTGTATAATTGGTCTATCACTGAATGACCAACAATTAGTACACATTCGTGGAGAAAATTCTGCTGCAAGATGTTGGGAGAACTTGAAGAGACTTTATGTATGTGACGCTGTAGGTGCACACATACAACTTACATACAAACTGTTTAGGGCGCATCTTCTGAAAAGTGGAGATATGTTAGCTCATTTAACCTTTATGAAAGGGGTTTTTCAGGAGCTACATGAAAAAGAACTAATTTTATCTGAGCTACATCAAGTGTATATCATACTCTCCTCACTGGATGAGAGTTATGATGTTTTTGTGTCTTCTCTTGAAGTCCTAACCCAAAATGAACTAATATTGACTGCATTACTACACAACTGTTGGAAGAGTCAAGAAGAAGGATGGAGAGGGCACAACTGAGAGAGAAACCACCACAACATGAGAAGTCACCTTCTACTGCCTATACTGTTCAAAAATGTTATTGTGGTGCTAAGGGACATTTAGCTAGATTCTGTAAAAAGGCAAAACAACAGAATGCCGGAAGAGCAAGAAAAAAGCTAATGTCAATTTAGCTATGTCTACTTTGGCTATGTTTAGCAATGCACCAGTAAACCATGATTTGTGGGTTGTTGATAGTGGAGCATCACAGAGCATTGCTAGAGATAGAAAAAGGTTTGTAAAAATGACCACGAGCAAGGAACATGAAATTTTTGGCAAATGGATAGAAGGTGAAGGCATCTGGTGAAGGTAATGCATGTTGTTCATTATTAACTGAGCAGTTACCAATGTTATATGTACCAAACCTGAAATTCAAGTTACTATCAGTTAGGACTCTGGTTAACATTGGCTATGTTGTAAACTTTAGGGGAGACATCTGTATTATTGAAAAGGAGGGTGACAGGGTTACTGCTGCTCTAAAAAACGGTTTGTATGTTATACTGGATGGCCAGATGGCTAACACAGCTTATCATAATGTTAAACCCCATGTTGAATGCATACATTTACTACATAGACACATGGGGCACATTAATTTTAAAATGCTGCAACAAACTGTTAAGTTGGCAGAAGGAGTAAAACTAAAACCTTGCGGAAAATATTTAAACTCCAATGTTTGCAATAAGGAGAAAAACAAAGTTACTCCTGCAAACAGACTGAATGGTTTTAAAACAAAGGAACCTCTGGAGGTTGTTTTTGCTGATTTAATAGGACCTTTAAAACCCAGTTTGGGAGGGGCCTGTTATGTTTTGAGTATCATGGATCATTATTCCCGATTTGGTTTCTGTTACTTAATGAAAAACCAAACAGAAACGTTTCAGAACTTTTTTAATTGGCTGAGGTTTNGTTCTGAGTGATAAAAAACACTTTCCTTTTTTCTACCAAGTGCTCCCCAGAGAAGGCATCCAATATCCAGGGATTATCAAAGTTCTCTTGCATTTTAGATGGACGTTGATAGGGCTTGTTGCTCCAGCCTCTGAGAATGGAGAGAGATTCACGAGAACATTGACTCCTATGCTTACAAAGAACAGCATTTGCGTTGCTTTTTCATTTGGGACATCCTTTTCTTTCAAAGATTTTGAGAAAACCATTGGCCAGTTGAACAAATGGAAAAAAGTCAATGTTTTTGTTTGTTATGTAAAGCAAAGTTTCTTCCTTGGACAAATATTCCTCCTTCAATTAATGATGCAAATGTTTATCCATCTTGAGGTTGGCAAAATCTGGATCACCACAGCTTTATGGGATTTTAGCCTAGAGTTAAAATCTCCACAGTACCTCTCCTCCCTCTATGGTTTTTTATCCTTCTTTATCCACAGGCATAAGTGGGAAATCAATAACAAATTTCCACTCCTTCACTCTTCCATTCAGAAATTTGTAGAAGAAGGCTTTCATTGTTTATACTCAAAGCCAGTTGGGTCTGTGAAAGGATGGACAAGATGCCGGGAAAAAGAAGATTTGAGGATCCCTTTCCCAAAAGATTATGAAAAAATCTTGTCTCTTGATGGTTATCACATTTACAGCACCCTCTGGGCTGTGGCACGTGCCATAAACATAGCTTATTCTTCCAGGTCCACCAAGATTGTGAGAAACAGGAACTACCAATTGGAAGCTCAAATGCTTCAGCCTTGGCAGGTAAATGAGAATCTAATCCTTAAATTCATATCATGAACAACTTTATCCAAGAATTAATTTTATTTTAAGCATGCTAGAAAAGCAACAGGGAGATGAATCAGGGAGACTTAGATGAGGGAATAGAAGGGGAATTCATCAGATTTGCAGATGACACTAATGTAGCAAGAATAGCCAATATCGCAAAAAACAAGCTCAGGATCCAAAAAGATCTTGACAGACTTGAAAAATGGGTTCTATCCAACAAAATGAAATTTAATGTGGAGAAAAGCAAAGTTTTAAATTAGGCAGGAAAAAGTACAGATTAGGTGAAACCTGACTCAAAAGCAATAATTGTGAGTGTGACCTTGGAATCCTAGTGGACAATCACTTAAATATGACACAGCCATGTGCATCAACAGCCAAAAAAAGGTAATACAATCCTTGATTGTATAAACAGAGGCATTGAATGATAATCACGTGACATATTAGTACTGCTTTATAAATCTTTAGAAAGACTACATGTGGAATACTGGCTCCAGTTTGGTCACAATAGAAAAAGATGTGGAAACTTTGGAAAATATGTAGTGAAGAGCAACTAAGATGATTCAAGTCCTGAGGACTAAAACATATGAAGAATGTTTAACCAGGAATTATGTATGGCTAGTCTATAGATAAGGAGGACTAGGGGTGACATGATAGCAGTATCCCAGTATTTGAGGGGCTGCCACAAAGAGGAGGGGGATCAACTTATTTTCCAAAGCACCAGAAGGCAAGACAAGAAACTATGGATGGAAACTAATGAAGGAGAGAAGAAACCTGGATTTAAGGAGAAACTTCCTGACAGTGAGAACAATTAACCAGCTTGCCTTCAGAAGTTGTAGGTGCTTCATCAGTGGAGGTTTTTAAGAAGAGATTGGACAGCCACCTATTTGAAATGGTACAGTATAGGGTCTCCTCCTTGAGCAGGGGTTTGGACTGCAAGACTTCCAATGTCCCTTCCAGTTCTGATTGATTGATTGAAATGTTATAACAAACTCCTTGCATTGCTTCTACTGCACTCAGTCTTCATAGGACTACAGAACACTAATGGCCAGATCCAAATTTACTGAGGCAATCAATATGGACTTGGTTCTTTTATTGGTGTTCTAGATCAGGGATCCTCAAACTATGGCCCAGGCACTGGATATGACCCACTGAAGCTATTAATCTGGCCCGCAAGGAAGCGCAAGGTTGCCCCACCCACATCGCCCCACCTATCCTCCGGCCCCCACCCACCTTCTGGAGGCCGAGGAGGCCAAAAACAGGATGTGTGGAGGCCTCAGGAAGCCAAAAAATGGGCCTATTTTGGGGCAACAGAATGGTTCTGGATGCCGAGGAGGCCAAAAATGGGACGCCTCTGAAGGCCAAAAAATGAGCCTGTTTTTGGGTGGCAGTGTGGTTCTTGGAGGCCTCAGGAGGAGGGGAGGGAGGGAGGGAGGGAGAGGGGGGCACTGCCCCCCGGCAGCAGGATCCCTTCACTAACCTCCTTTCCATCCCCAGGAGCATAACAAATTAAAGTTTAATTTGTGTGTATTGTTTAATGGACTGCTAATTTGGCCATGCCCACCCGGTCACATGACCACCTAGCCACACCCACCCAGTCACATGACCATTTAGACACACACACACACACACACAAACACACCCAGCCAGTCTGTCCCCCGCAAACAGTCTGAGGCAACCATGAATTGGACCCCTGTTTAAAAAGTTGGAGGACCATTGTTCTAGATTCAACTTACAACCTTGAGATGAAGCCCATCTCATTTTTTCTCAGAGAACAAATCTGCACATGTTTCAAGGCTTTAACTTCCAACCTTCTATGGAAGAGAAGAAGTCAAGGCCCTTCGAACTGAGCTTGATTCCTGAACTGAGCTGACTTCATGGGGATATTGTTGGTTTTTTTTGTAGGTTTCAGGTTGGCTTTCAGGAAATAATTTATTATTATCTTTTTCCGGGAATATCATTTCCAATCATTTCATTTGCTATTCCTAATCATGTCCAACTCTGCTTAACCTCTAAGGTTTAACCAAATCAACCTAAACTTCTAAAGGCAAAAGGAGGAGAATAAAAACATTGAGCAATGAAAGAGGCCCTGTAGAAATGCAAATAGATAGTCATAACTCATTCATGTTAGAATGAATTCTTCACCATAAGGCGTAAAAGTCCCCAACCTTTCCAAGCACGGGGGAGGGGAGGTGTGAGTGGCAGGCACACACCCAGCTCCATTTGTGCAATGAGAAGGCAGGCATGCCTTCCCCTCTCACAGTGTATTTTCATGCATAAGCAGAGGGCGCTTGTGCTCACACGCAAAGTCCCACTCATGCAAGTGTCAGGCACTTGCGCTCGTGTGCAAACTTCACTCGAGTGAGCAGAGGGTACTTGTGCTCATGCATACATTTGCCCATCTCTCCCATGGCCAGGTTTTGAAAAGGCTGCAGCTCGGTAGTGGGCCGTGACCTGGGGGTTGGGGTTACCAGTGGATAAAAAGGGTGGACTTGTTAAATCTTTCCTCTTGTACCACCAGAGCTATTATCTAAATTGAGTGCAGAAACATCAGCAAGAAAACAACTAAGCCCAGAGAGCACCAAGGATTCCATAGTTCAAATCCCGAGCTACAAATACTGTCTTCTATTCTTTTTTGGTTTGACATATTTCATTGCTTAAGCAGTGAAACGTTTCAACCCCAAAAAGAAAAGAAGTCCAGTTACCATGATTCAACCTCCAAATGACTCTACCTGGATGACTGAGAACATTCTCTTCTACTTTGCTCTTCATCCTGCAGTTTTCTGTTTTTTCCCCATCTAGGTCCATCCATTCCTGCAAAGCCCTCAGTTTCATAATGGTTCCATGGATGGAGTCTATTTGGATGAAAATAGAGAACTGGCAGCTGACCTGGACATCATGAGCTGGATTATGTTCCCCAACAAGTCCTTCTCCAAACTGAAACTAGGAGATCTAGAAAGACAAGGATCCCCAGATCTCAAGTTTACTCTTGATCAGGATGGCTTTGCAAAACTGAAATGGCTCAAAAAGGTAGGAAAAATGGGTCTCTTCCATTTCATGGACTCCTAAAGTTTCAAATTCTGTAATGAACACTTTGTGCTTTTGAGTACCAAGTAATTGCACCAAATTGTTGATTTTTTCAAGAGAAAGGGTTTTTCCCTAGCTAGTAAATTGTACAGAAGAAGTATGATGTCCAAAATCAGGGTTAATTGTCCCTAGAAATTGTTGCTTTATCAGGAAAGCACCCATAAGTTCCCTGGAAGTTCATTTATTACAAATGGAGAGAGGGCGTAATTCCTAAAAACTTATAGTCTAAAATCAGAATTGAAGAAATTCAAAGACAAGAAAGTGAAGGTAGGAAGAGAGAGATAGAGAGAAGCAATACATGGTACATTTCACTGATGAAAGCTTTAAAGGTCCATTAGCGATTTCAGATATGAATCAGAAATCCATGTAACTTTATGAAAAAGTTCCTGACCACCCAACCCAATACAGCACAACCAACACAAAAACAAAAAAGAATTACACTGTCATACAGCAAGAATATCTTAGAAATCACCAACAGACCTCTACAACCGTATGGAATCAGCACAGCACACAAGCCAACTAAAGCCTTTCCTAAGCAGACCAAAAGACCCAACAACCCCAGAAGAAAAGACAAGAGTCATTTACAAGACACAATGTAAGGACTGCAACAGCATACAAGCAGAAGACTGGCAGAATGCATCCACAAACTCCTAGGGGCAGTCAGAAGACATGATGACATAGACATTAACAACATCTATAGACTATATAGGGGACATGGTGGCTCAGTGGCTAAGATGCTGAGCTTGTCGATAAGAAAGGTTAGCAGTTAGGCACATCGGCAGTTCGAATCCCTAGTGGATTTGAATGGAGTGAGCTCCTGTTACTTGCCCCAGCTTCTGCAATCTAGCAGTTTGAAAGCATGTAAAAATGGCAGTAGAAAAATAGGGACCATCTTTGGTGGGAAGGTAACAGCATTCCATGTCCCTTTGGTGTTTAGTCATGCCAGCCACATGACCACAGAGATGTCTTCAGACAGTGCTAGCTCTTCGCCTTTGAAATGGAAATTTGCACACTTCCTAGAGTCGGGGACAACTAGCACGTATGTGCGAGGGAACCTTTACCTTTTATAATTATACAAAAGAGACAACCAGCCCAAAAGACTGGTGACACCTCTCCACCAGTAATCAGCACTCAGATCAGCATAGATTAGCTCCAAGGTCAACTTCAGACCAACAATCAGGTAAACAATGCCCCAATCAAGAAAGTGCCAAAAAGCCATCAGTAAACAGCCCAACCAAAGAATCTCTAAATCCACCCACCACCCATACAGACAGGCAAGATACCAGTATATAAACTGACAGCAAACTACATCCCTTACTAGCACTGATGATGTAACCTACAGTATTTTTTGGAGTATAAGACACACTTTTCCCCCCCAAAAAGAGGGTGAAAATTTGAGTGCATCTTATACACTGAATGTAGCTCCATCCACCCCCACCAGAGGCCAAAAAAGAGAGGTATGGAGGCAGTGATGGTCTGTGGCAATCCCTGCAGCCTAGAACAGCTGATTTGGGGGTATTCCACCATCCCATCCACCCGCCAATAAGCTGTGCTGAATCAGGCTGCAATAAGTGCTGAAACTGACTTGGCTGGTCAGAGTTTGCAGCAGAAATCACATTCAGAAAGCACAATAACTGATTCAGCAGGATTCAAAATAATAATAATAATATACATTACCAAAAGCAGGTTTTCCAAGGTAGCAGTAAATACAAGCAAAACACAAGTAGTTTCACTTTCAGTTCTCGGCTCTCAGAGTCAGCATATCGCCCCCACAATTTGGGTCCTCGTTTTACCCACCTCGGAAGGATGGAATGCTGAATCAACCTTGAGCCAGTCGGTCAGGATCAAACTGCTTGNATTGTTGGGGGCAATATACTGACTCTATAAATTGCTTAGAGAGGGCTATAAAACACTGTGAAGCGGTATATAAGTCACTTAATATAAATCAATTAATTACAGAGTCTTGAGATTAAGCCCAGCTCACTTTTCTCCAAGCTCAAATCTGCACAGGTTTAAAATCTTTAATTTTCACACTTCTTAGGAAGTCAAGAAGTCAAGTCCCTTTGATTGCTGATGATTTCATGGGGATGTTTCCTGCAGGTTTCTATTTGACTCTATTCAAATGTTTACTATCATTTGGGGCAGTTTGCTGATTTTGTAATTCACTTAGAGGGCTGTAAAGCACCGTGATGCGCTTATATAAGTCTAAGTGCTATTGCTATTTATTTTTATATGAATATTATTGATCTTTATTCTATTACTAGTCAGACCCAACTCTGCTTACCTTAGTTCAAACACCTAAAAGCAAACAAAAAAAGCATTAAAAATTCAGTAATATAAGAAGTCCAGTAAAAAGATGATTCCAGCTCAATTCATGTTGGAATGAATTCTTCACATAAAGAACTAGAGGATGAAAAGGTCAACTTGTCAAATTATTCCTCTTGTGCTACTAAAAATGTTACCGAATTGTGTAATGAAATATCTGCAACAAAACAATCAAACTCATAGAGCACTAAGGATTCCACAGTTTAATCCTGAGCTACAAATATTGTCTTCTATTCTTATTTTTTGATTTGAAACATTCAGTTGCTTAAGCAGTGAAATGTTTCAAACCAAAAACCAAAATGAGTTGCGATGACTCAACTTCCAGATGACTCTACCTGGATGACTGAGATTCTTTATTGGCATTTTCTTTTATCATTGCTCTTCATCTTAGTTTTCTCTTCTTTTCCCTTTTAGCTCCATCCATTCCTGCAAAGCCCTCATTTTCATAATGGCTCCATGGATGGAGTCTATTTGGATGAAAATAGAGAACTGGCAGCTGATCTGGACATCATGAGCTGGATTATGTGCCCCAACAAGTCCTTCTCCAAACTGAAACTAGGAGATCTAGAAAGACAAGGCTCCCCAGATCTCAAGTTTATTCTTGATCAGGATGGTTTTGCAAAACTGAAATGGCTCAAGAAGGTAGGAAAAATGGGTCTCTTCCATTTCATGGACTCCCAAAGTTTCAAATTCTGTAATGAACACTTTGTGCTTTTGAGTACCAAGCGATTGCACCAAATGGTTGATTTTTTTCAAGAGAAAGGATTTTTCCCTAGCTCTTCTAGTATATTGTACAGAAGAAATATGATGTTCAAAATCAGGGTTAATTCTCCCTAAAATTGTTGCTTTATCAGGAAAGCACCCATAAGTTCCCTGGAAGTTCATATATTACAAATGGAGAGAGGGCGTAATTCCTAAACACTTGAAGTCTAAAATCAGAATTGAAGAAATTCAAAGACAAGAAAGTGAACGTAGGAGGAGAGAGATCGGGAGAAGCAATACATGGTACATTTCACTGATGAAAGATTTAAAGGTCCATTAGCGATTTCAGATATAAATCAGATATCCATGTAACTTTATGAAAAAGTTCCTGACCACCCAACCCAATACAGCACAACCAACACAAAAACTAAAAAGAACTACACGGCCATACAGCAAGAATATCTTAGAAATCACCAACAGACCTCTACAACCGTATGGAATCAGTACAGCACACAAGACAACTAAAGCCCTTCCAAACATCCTAAGCAGACCCAAAGACCCAACAACCCCAGAAGAAAAGACAAGAGTCATTTACAAGACACAATGTAAGGACTGCAACA